GGAAAGAAACATTGAAGTTATTATTAAAGATAGTTGAAATTAATGCATGCAAGATTTCACAGTTTTAGCATCAGTTCATCATAGTCAGCCTATAAACATTTCAGCCCATCCTCGTACTATATTTTTCGTCTGATCTGCATATTGTGTCTAAAGTATATGACTGGTACCTTCTGGAGAATTACAACGAACATAATTTGATTAGTAGCTTTAGCGACGTCATATATATTTGAGTTCCACTTGAGGGCTGGTGTGAACGTGAGTCAACAGATGTTCCATACAATGATCTGCGTTGAGTGTAATTCATCATCATTGCCGGAGAAAACTCAAGTTCTACTCTGTGATGATGAAACGTAATGTTCAGAAAATAAATAACATATAAACACAAGGAAATTTGAATAGAAAGCTTAATCGTAGTGCCCCTGTCAGTCGTCTTTAAATCTTGAGAGATTTTAATGTTGAAAATTGCTACACACACACGCGCACACATGCACACACACATAGACTTTAGGGTTAGGGAAATCAGCTGCACACCAAAACGTAGGTATACGTGTATATATATATATATATATATATATATATATATATATATATATATATATATACAATACAAACAAAAAACTGAATGAGGTTGTCGGATTTTCATACGTCGAAATCAGCGGAAGAGTTCATCATATATATATATATATATATATATATATATATATATATATATATATATATGTATGTAAGCAAATGTAAATGGATATAGATCCGACAGAATGAAGAAAAATTTGGAAAAAACAAACAAAAACCATTAAACGCAACTATGCCGCCCAAAATGAATGAAATGTCGACGTCTGACGTTTCGGTTTAATAAACCTTTTTCAAGACAATATTTATTAAAATACAATTCAGTTCAATTTGACAAAGACGATGGACATAAACAACAAGTCTTATCCAAAACAGATAACTGAAAATTTTTAAAATGATCAGCTTTCCGTTTAGCATGGTCACGTTGTCGTCACATGGGCGACGCTTTCAAAACGTATTCCTAAAAATTTTTGATTATTTTTAATGAAAAAGAAAATGAAAAGAATTCTATTAGGATCTAAAATTTTTATGTGTATGCTTGTGTATATATATGTATATATATTTCATTCCCAGACAGTACTATTTCTTTGTGTCACAGCTCCTCAGTGCGACTGGACGTCTGAAGGCTCCAGCCAGCATAGGAACCCGACCGATTTGCTGCCAGTAGTAGTTTGTGCTACACACAATACATATACATACATACATGCATATATATATATATATATATATATATATATATATATATATATATATATATATATATATATATATATATATATATATATATATATATATATATATATATATATATATATATATATATATAATCTTGTATTTTCATGTAAAATAATTCATTAATCTTGTATAAAACTTACAATAATTCGAAGAGAATATATTGGTTCAATTTTATATTCATTTTAGTTTTATATTCAGTGATTACCGGAAAAAATTGCAATATAAGTGCAATATTTTATAAAGACAATGCTACTGCAAAATAACTTCATTGCTTTTGATGGAATGTGTAACTTCGTAAAATATATTATCGATAATTCTTTTCTTAATTGTTATTATTTTACCATTATTAATTCATCCACATTTTATCTTGATATTTTATTTTCAATTATTATTATTATTATTATTATTATTATTATTATTATTATTTGTTAAAATTTCATTAATTACTAACGCTTCAGTTATAATTGCGACTATTTAAGCAGTGTCTTTTCAAAGTCTCTTATTCACAATATTCTTAGTCGTAGGCGTTGTTGTAGTTTTTGTAACACCCAATAATGATTGGACCACAAATAGCCGTCAGAATTAATTTCGAACAACCAAATTGTGTTGACGGTAGCCAGCCAATAAATAGACAGAGTGATGGCCTTCAGCAGGTTTTAATCCTAATTGTTAATAGCCTTAGGGATGACCAATTTTGAACATATAATTATATGATTTTTCCCTTTTTCTTTTATTATTATTTTTTTTTATAATTTTACACTGACTTTTTGTCATAGCATGTAATTCTGAAAATGGCCATTTTTTTTTTGTAATCGGGGTAGTTTAAAGTTTTTATTTTAGTTTTTGTGGATCGGTTGGTGAGTTGGTCTGATCAATAATGCAATGTCTTCATTAGGCTTTTTTGGCGGGAAAAGAAAAAAACGCGAAAAAGACGTTTAGCTGTAGGTTTATTGAAACGAACAAAATGGTGTAAAGAAGAGAAAGAGGGATGTGATGGAGACTGGGTTTGCAATGTGAGTCGAATCGAAATCATGTAGACCTTGAATTAAATTCATACAAGAAAAAAAAAATGGTCAAAAATTGAAGAGCCACAATGCTGCCAGTTTTCCCGAATTAGAAAAAGGCCCGAGGAAATCAACATCATTATCATCTGTCAACATTAGGAACATAATTGTAAAGGCATGAACCCTCAACACATCACTGTACACACTCGTGCACGCAGTTATATTTGAATGTAAACAGTTCAAATTGACTTTTTTTATACTAGTGTTCCCCGAATAAAATGCCCAAGAACCCCTCAAGATAGAAGGTTATTGAATGAGATTTTTTATGAACGTAAAAATAGGAAGTAAGTGTAGATTATGATATGTAGTATAGACAACGGTATACTTTAGCCGTGAAGAGATTAAAACTGAAATAATCCAGCAAACATCCATTCAGGAATCGGTTCCACAAAGCAGTGGCTCTTGGAACGAATCGGTCTGAATAGAACTTCCTTCTTATCGATTGAATATGAAGGGGATAATTCTATGTTGTGTAGATGGTATGGCTAATCTTATCTATAAAGGCCTGAGAAGGCAGCACCAAAAAATGAAACTCTTCTGAACATTTGCCATTGAAATAGCTATAAAGAGAGGGGCTTGTGACGTTTCGCTTATGGGACAGGGATTGTAGGGTGTGAAAAATGAGCGCTTCGATCTTCAGTATTATAAAGTGGAGTAAAGATAATTAAAACTGAGTGGGTAAGGTAAAATAAAGAGAAACGAGAACACGCTGAGGTAAAAGGATATGTTACGCTCTGGGATTTAAAAGTCAATATCGAACTGGGTAGTGTTGTAACAGACGAAGGAAAGTGGCGCACAAAAATCCGCATAGGAATCTGGAAAGATGCCTTCCAGAAACTAAGGATAGTATTAAGAGATAATAAAACAAGAGAAACAAGAATAATAAAACTAGCAACATGGGCCGGCGTTGCCCGTGCTTGATTAAAAAAATCAGCAATCGCTATCACTTGACTGAAAATATTTTTGCCCTTCCTTGCCTTTAAAGGAGTGCCCTTTGCCGTGCTGATGTTGCTACATGCCTTACTTCTTGACTATCTCACACTGCGAATTTTTTTTCTAAGCTCTATACTGAACATTAAATCTGTTACGAAAAAACTAAACAAAATGAACACAAAACGATCAGCTTTAAAAAAGGACTCGTAACTGGAAAAACCGAATGAAAAAAGAATGTTAACAACAAATACTTTTTCACACCCAACCCAGTTCTGCGGAATCAGAATCAACGTTGAGTTTAAGCAAGCGAATGAGACAATTGGAGTAAAGTGTCATGCAGATTTAAATTTTTCCCACTTGTGAATAATGCAGCTATCGATTTTTTTTTTGCATGCTAGCATGCTAGTTAATATTCATGTCAGTCAGCTATTGGCTCTCACGCTGGCCAATAGAATCTTCCTGCCTATTCGTGGCAGCCAACTATAGGCTCTCACTCTGTCCAGTAGAAAATGGCCGCAAACTACATGAAAACTGGCGTAGAAGTATGAAAAAATCGATCATTTCCACTATCGATGGGAGTTGGGAAATACAAAGTCGGTCTTGCCCTTCCCGCTAACTTGGAGCATGTGCATGTAAATTTTGGTGCAAATCCGTCGAACATTGCGACCGTGCATTCGTTACACACACACACACACACACACACACACACACACACACACACACACACACACATCCTGGCTTTTATAGATAGCGATAATAAAATAAACTGTGAGCAATGAAGACGTTTTAAGGAGGATAAGAACTGCAAGAAGTGGATACTTACAACCAAGAACAGACAGACTAACTTCCTGGTACGTACACCGATTTGTTTTTTACGGCTTATCTACCTTTTACTGATTATTTAAAGCCAGAAAATGTTTTTCGATTGTAAGAATTATTTTTTTTAAAAGAATAATAATGTACTGATACAAAAACTACTTTTTAAACCCATAGCTGCGGGGAGAAGATCTAGATTCAAACCTTTCCCAAGAATAATTCGTCCTTGCATGGAATACTTGCTGCCATATATGGCCTGGTGCTCCCGCTGTTCATCTCGAGGTCTTCGATTAAAAACCAGAGACTGATATGCAAGGTAAATGGTCCTGATCTGGCATCCCGTCTACAATCACTTTCTCACAGACGTTCTGTGACTTCCCTCTGTCATTTCTACAAGTATTTTCATGGTATCTGCTCCGACGAGCTACTTTCACTGTTTCCCAAACTGCATGAATTTAAGCGTGGTACTAGGTTGGCATCTCGGTCCCACACTTTCACTGTCGAAACGACTAAATGTAGGCATTTCTTCTACTCCAACTGCTTTTTATCTCACACCTCCTGCCAGTGGAACTCCCTTCCTATCACTTGCTTCCCTGATAGCTATAATCTTCAAATATTCAAATGTAATGTCAATCGACATCTTCCGAGGCTTTGACCTTGATACCTGTCTTCTTTATCTTTTTTCCAAATATTCCTCTTTACTCTTACTCTCACTCTCTGTAACCCCCTTGCATGCTAGTGCCACACCCGCCTTGCTTGGGGGCGATTTGCTTAAAAAAAAAAAAAGCATTCGAGAATAAGTGAATATGACGAATACAACTGGACTTGGAACACATCTCTCCGATTTCCAATCCCAAGCCGTTATCCTCCCACACATCCAAGCTTACAGCACCTGGTATTCCCAAGCGGTCTAGACACTGAACAGGCTCGACGTTGCTTAACTTCAGTGACCGGACGAGAAACGGTGTTTCAACGTGATATGGCCGTAAGCCCTCCTGAGAAAAGAGCACTTGTAGATTTTAACGCTCACAGGACACACTGGCAACCAGAAAAGCAGAGGTAAACAATCTACTTAATGAACCTGTGCGAATTAATGGCAGAACATGGGCAAAGGGAGATGGTAAAATATTAAAAGTTACTTAGATCAGAAGACATGCGTTAGTGGAGAGCCACGATCGGCCACGTCTTTAAGAGACTTGGCATATCAAAGAATAGAATACAGAGAATTTATAAAGTCTGTGAAATGTTATATAGATACTAGCAGGCTTCACCTGCTTGCTATCGCATTGCAAATTAAGATATATTCGCTACTTGAAATTTTTGAAACAAAAATTTTAAATGAACATTTCATTCATAAATTGACTTGTTATAGTTAAGGAAAGTTTTACAAATAGATGCCAACTTTTTGGAGGCAATTAAAATGCAAATTTCAAACATTTTTCTGCATTATATAAGACAATATTCATAAACAGAATTATTTTTTATATGAAAATCAAAACCCTTGAATAAAAGAACACTTATGAAGGACAGTTAATTAATGAAATATACTTTTTATTTAAATCAATATGCAAATTAGTTAAACCTGAAGAGTGATATCACCTAGATGTAGATAATATATAATACAGATATTGAGCATATAGCGTAAAAATTACTATAAGATAATGGGGGTGGAACTTTTTCAATCCAAGATTTCATTGGATAATTGTGTTCCAGTTTCGAATTTATTCATATAGTATTCCATAATATAGGTTTTACTTAATTAGCTATTGTTTCTCTAACTCTTCAAATGTTGAATGTATATGTAATTTCTATTTTCCCGTCTTTATACTATATTAATTTTATCTTATAAATTTTCTCTTGTTCTGTTACCTATGAAATAAAAATAATTGCTTGTATGGAAAGTAAAGACCTACATACATCAAATCGTCTTTAAATTAAATGGCAGCAGAAGAATTATCATTGAACTTTTAAAAGTTAAGCTTAAACATTAATCAATACTTAAATGCAGCGATCAATTTTGAGTTATTATTTACTTTATTGATGCCTATCGCATCTACACCTCCCTAGCTATTGTGATGATGGCCAAACCAACAATCCTCCACAGGAGCTAGCTTAGATGCCGCCCGAACCATGAAAACAACGATAATGGCTAGTATAATATATTAATATATTATTTTTAACCGCGCATAATCTGGCAACCTTGAATCTGTGCTTTACGAAAATCGTTCCCTGCGATTAACTTTTCTAGGGCTTTTGAATGGGCTATGAATCATTGAAATCGGACCAGTGGGAGCGGAGGAGTTGCTTGGACACACACGTATACACTGTACCTTATATTTAAGATAGTTATAGTGATTTACTAAGTGATGCTTAAATATGACATAAGGTCTAAAGTACAGAGCACCTAGTGAGGATCGAACTCACTTCTCAGTAGTTATCGATACGTCGGGACAAACCTGCTAAAAATTATAGCATGTTGAATTTTACACTGGATCAAATACCGGCAATTAGCATTTATGGGAAATAAGTAATAATCTTTGTTTCGAAGCAGCTCTTCTATACAGAAATTCTACACTGGAAAAAATAATGTAGAGATAGCATTATTTCGTCAAGCAACTTAATATAATGCTGTTCAGGGAAGTAAATAGAGATAGATTATAATCTTTCTGTCTGAATTCCTGCGATGAGGAATTATCTTCATTTACATTATTATTTATTTATTTATCCTCATCTTTGTTGTTATTATCACAATATTTCGTCCATTTTGCCCCCCGGCCTCAATCAGGTGTATGTCGGTTGACCTATAGGAAATTTCGAATTCTGAACCCTTTATTTAATCTACGGGAACAGACTTTTCTTTTTTTCACTGCTCATGTCTAGGGATATCATTCTTATTTTGAGCACTGCTCAGTTATTGCTCGCTCTGTCTCCATTGAGTCCAAGTAAACAACTCCCAGCCATTACTATTTCCCCAAATTCACGAACCAACGTTTGAATCCGCTGAACTATTGTACGTAGAAGACTTCTATGTGGAGAACTTGAAATCTTACACCTAACCTGCTTACAGATAAGAGTTGCTACTATTTGGCATGCTCGATGCAGACGCAGAAGCCATGAAGCAGCAGAAACTAAATTCATTCAAGGTTACCTACATCGACATACACCTGATGAAGACCAGAAGACATAACGAGCGAAGCGTTGTGAAACAACAACAAAAAAGAGGGCTATAGTTTGCGTGTTAATAGTATAAATAAAGTATATATGGGTCGGCTGAAATGGTCATAGGCTGACCAAGTATAAATGTAAGTAGACAGAAAAGTTGGTAGAGTAAAAGTTATGTAAGTGTACCAGAATACAATGGTTGGTTTGGTATGGTTTGTTTAACGGTATATCAACCTCAATGGGTTATTTAATGTCGACAAGATTTTTAGTGCCGGTATTATTTTTTTAAAGAATGTATTGCTGGTAATATTTTTTCCAAAAAAGTATTGCTTGTAATAATGTATTGCTGATAGTAATTTCTTCTTTAAAAATTCATTGCTGGTAATCATTTTTTTTTATAAAATATATTGCTGTTAATAAAACCTGTTTTTACACGTTTTGACCCCAGTTTGGGGATTAACTATTTGTCCATAGCTGGGACCCTAACAGGTGCTACCACCCCGGGTCAGGGTGGACCTGAGAACACCAGCAATGAAGAGGTGGTTTCACGCTTCTCAAACCTCTTGATCCTTGCTGTCGGATGTAGTTTATCGTCTTATCCAGGACGCGAATACAATAGTTGGACATAGCAGTGACTCTATGATTTTATCAAGGTATACCGTGTTTGTTAACCTTTTTTTGTTGATGAACGAATAGTTGAGATGTAACATGTGGATTATTCATTTGTTTTGAATGAAAATACCATATTAAGTTATTATGCATAGAAGAGACGTGTTAAATTATTAGAGGCTCTTTCTTTTTTGTTTTTTATCTTTCATTTTTCATTCTTTCTTCTTTCTTTTCTTTCTTTCATTCATTCTTTATTTACTTTTTTTTTCATTTATTTTTATTCACTTTTATTTCATTCATACTTTCTTATTTATTCATTTTTGTTCTTTTCTTTCTTTCTTTATTTCGATTCTCTTTATTTCTTTTTTCTTTCTTTCATTCTTTATTTTTGTTTCGTTTTTTATTCTTTTTCCTATTCTTTTGTCCTTCATTTGTTTTCTTTCTGTTATTTCATTCTTTGTTACATCTCTTTATTTTCGTTCATTCTTTCTTTCTTGCTTTTCTTTCATTGTTACTTTCTTTCTTCCTTCCTTCCTTCCTTCCTTCCTTCCTTCCTTTCTTTCTTTTCTAACCCCATTTCTAAATTCTTTTCTATTTTATCCTTTAGACTTTATTCCATTTTTCGTCACCCATACATTTTATTTCCTTCCATCTGTTCTTCTTTTAATTGACGACTTTCTTCCTCCTTTCCGATTCTTATTGATTGGTAGGTATTTACTACCTATATATATTACCAGGTTTTCACACCTTGGCTTTATTTTTTTAACAACCTTTCTTTCTTAAAACATACTTCATCTGAAACTTTGATAAGTTTCAAATAGAAATTTTCCCATAGATTTTCTTTAGCGTTCCTCCCATGGTTTCTTTTGTCCATTCCTTTTTTTATATTTGCTCTTTTAATTAAAGACTTCATCGTAAATCTTTCTAACTTTTCATTTCGTTTCGTTTCGTTTCCTTTCTTTCTTTCTTTCTTTCTTTCTTTCTTTCTTTATCCAGATGCGGATTTTGTGAAATTACCCCTTTTTTGTCAAAACATTTTGTATCCTTCCTTCCTTCCTTCCTTCCTTCCTTTCCATAAATAGTCCAGGGCGTAGGTCACTGCTTAGTTGTCATTAAACATACCGTTTTTGTTCCTAATGAGATCGATGGAACACCAAAGATTGTCCGTCGACCCCGTGCCAATATTTACGCAACTTCAAAGGATTTTTCTCTTTCTTTTTCCAGCTGCGATTGATTGTCTCGCCTCGCCTCGCCTTCAATGTGTAATATTAAAAACGGCGTCACAGTCTTTTGTCATTTCATGTTTTAGAAGATTTTGTTTTTTAGGAAATGATGTGTAAAGCAAGACTAGACACATACATATGTTTAGACACACACACATATATATATATACACGTACATATATATATATATATATATATATATATATATATATATATATATATATATATATATATATATATATATATATATATATATATATATATATATATATATATATATATCTTTTTTTTCTGTTTAGGATTGGGCTTCCAGTTCCTTAAAAAGTCTTCTTATTCCCTTTCACTTCACTAACTCGTCCTCCTTGGGGGTTAAATGATTATATATATATATATATATATATATATATATATATATATATATATATATATATACTGACTCCCCCGTCGAATTCAACGTACGAGGTCAAGCAGATCAGTTCCAAAAAGACCGACAGCCCGACACTAGCCCATGTGATTTGATTTTAATAGTGAAGGTTTTGTGCAGAACCATCAACATTTTTTGAAGGGCCGAATACAGAGACCTGGTGCACTACGTGCCACAAGGTCCCCAAACGATCCACACACACACACACACACACACACACACACACACACACACACACACACACACACATATATATATATATGCCCAAAATGAACAGATTCCTCTTCTCAATTTCACTGACAAGGATCAACTCGTACTTTGGCTTTCAGTCACTCTGGTACCAAATTCTGGAATCGCTTACGCAGGCTGAGAGCATTAAGAATTCACTTTCCTGAGAAATCGACCCTTGTGAGATACGAACCCGAGTCTCATGGTTGATTGAATAATCTAGACATATGTCTACTTTAATTTTTAATTCTTTCAAATTTACGAATCATTTTCTTAATGTTGCCATTAAACACATTAAGAAATGCGTCATAGTTTTTCCTATTCCTTTTATTTTCTCAAGTAC